CAGTTTGACTATGTGATGTGAGACCAGGGGCCTCTTTTTTTCCCGCCCACCCCCCCCGCCCCCAGAGTAAACCTGTTGTGGTTCTAACTGTAGATGGTTGGGCTCACAGAGTAGTTAATTTTTTTTTAATGTTTATTTCTTTATTTTGAGAGAGAGAGAGACAGAGAAACAGAGAATCCCAAGCAGGCTCTACGCTGCCAGGGCGGAGCCCAATGCAGGGCTCGAACCCACAAACCATGAGATCATGACCTGAGCTGAAACCAAGAGTCAGACGCTAACTGACTGAGCCACCCAGGCGCCCCTCATAGAGTAGTTACACACAGTGTAGTAAATTCCCAAAGTTGAGCCAATCAAAGACTGCTTCAACGGGACTGGGTGTCAGGGGGCACACAAGTCATCTGCCCAGAGGAATGTCTCACCTCACCTTGGAGAATCTAATACTGGGGCAGGAACGAACATTCAGAGGTCACTTAACCTAAGGCTTAGGTTTCACTGGCATACCTAAGTGCCACTCCATTACTTCCTCAGGGAAGAACAAAAAAGACCAAATACTACAGGATTCCTTTCTTATCTAAAGGAACCCTTGACAAGTGCTGGTTATGCTGTTCCTTTGTACTGTTTAATGCAGAAAAGCAGCTTCTCCATGGTGCATTTTAGGCTTTGAGGATGAAACTGTGTGTTCTCTCTGGTCCCCCGCTATTCTCAGTCTATCATTTTCCACAGCGAGGTGTGGTCTCCTAAGTCAGAGAGAAGCTCTCCTGGGCTGGTGCGCTTGACCACATGTGCAGGCCCAGCAGCGCCCCCTTGGTCTTGTTGTGTTTAATCCCTTATGGATAGGGAATGGATTAGGTCTTTCGTGCCTTTCACTTAGTAGTCTCACTTTATAAAAATAGTTTTTTAAAGGGGAAATGCTAATTTGCATAAAGATTTTTATAACATCAAAAAGTGGAAGAAAAAACCCAGATGTCTAACAATGGAAGAATTGCTAATTCATTATAATTTAGTGATTGCAAAGAAGATTTATGCCATCATTAGAATTTGTATTTGTGAAGAACAATTATAAACACTGGAAAAATGATAATATGTCCGGAAAGAAAAGATATGCTTTGATTACAGCTATATAAAATGTATATGCAAACGGTAGTGATTGGAAGTATATACACAAAAGTGAAAATTACTGTGTTAGGGTGAAGGGATTATGGATGGATTTTTATTTATCCAAACTTTCTGCATTATCATGTTTCTATAATAAAAAAGTTGGGGCATCTGGCTGGCTTAGGCAGTAGGGGGTGCAACTCTTGATCTCGGGGTTGTGAGATCGAACCGCATGCTGGGTATGGAGTAAATAAAAATGAATTTTACAAAAAGTTAAAAAAAAAGTTTGTGATGGATACAGCCATGTACACTGACAATTTACGGAAATGACTTCTCTCTGAACTGAGTATACTTAATTGCTATAGATGTTTAATTAACCTCCAAATGTTACCACCTTAAAAAAGCAACTCTAATTTTCATAACCTATTTCTACCAAGTGCAGTAAAATAACTTACTTATAAAAAAAAAAGAGAAGTACAATTGATATATTAACATGTTCAAGTTTACATAGCAGAACCAGAACTAGAAATCGAGGCAACGTTGCCGCTGAGGCTTTTCTTTCTTTCCTGTATGTAAAATGTTCAGTGATAAACTTAGAAACACTAAATCTGAGTATAATGGTCCAGCTGTGACTCCAAGAAAACCACTTCTTACTGTGCAGCAGAAATGTTTTCAATAAAGGTAGCAAATAGGACACCCAGATAACATTTACAAGATAGATCACTTACCTCTTTGGCTCTCTGTACTGCATCGCTCGGAGGATTCCTGATTTGTGGCGAAGACTTTGTGTTGATTTTGTCATACAGCTAAACGCAAAGAAGAAAATCCAATCAACACTCATAATTCTTTGCAAAAATTCAGAGCTTCATATTTATCATTTCATTACACCATATCTTCCTCTTACGAAAGCTGGCTGATGATTTTCGGTGGTGTCTTCTCAATAATCTCTTACTCATTCAATGAAACTTGGTGCAATAGGAGTCTTATGTGTCACTTTTTAGAAAATCATCTTTAAATAGATGGTTCAAATTCTGCCAATGGGGAAATTTCTCTTCTTATTTAAAATTGGTCATTATTTCAGAATTGCAGTATTTTTCGCCTCTGACAGAAGCAACATTCAGTAACATGGATACAGAACAAAATGAAAGAATGCTTTCTAGCCAAGACACGTCTAAAAGAATTTTCACAGAAATCTAAATCTTGGGAAAGGGCAAACCCAACTCCTTATAGGAAGGAATGTTCTCACAAAAGGTTTATGCTTGTTTTACTAGGGCTGTTTATTAACAGTATCAGTGCTGGCATCCTTTAGCAGGAAATCAAGGACATGGACTTTTTCCTTTTGAATTTGCAAATTCACACAGCAAGAGAAGACACTGAAAAGAATCTAAATATATTTTGAAACCCCCACAAGTCTGACTGATCCAAAATTTGCCTTTCTGAAGACAAGTGATTTCATTCTTTAAAGAATAATCTCGGTAGGATAGAAGATTAAAATATTAATTTCTACCTTAAACGAAATGGCTCATTCGACAGTCTGCTTTGAAAGGTGAAAAGTTAAAAATGATCTTGGCTAGGCTGCCATGTCTATTTCCTAACCTCTCTAAAATAGGTGGGGATTTTTTGGGGTTGTTTTGGTGTAGTTCTTTTTTCCCTCCTTCCTACTGTGCATCACAATGCTAGTGTGCAGGTCAAATACTGCCTGTACACATCTTTCACGTTACGGTTAGGTTTGTTTATACTGATAGAAGACAAAGCCTTATGATTTCTACGTGTTAGGGGCACACCATACATAAAAATGCCTTACGATAAATACGTACATTATTTAATTACAAAGATGCCTAATGAGAACAATGTGAAGATAAAGCAGTGACCAGTTTTAAATGATGGCATCATGTGATACTCAGAGGTTAAATGCATAGTGTAAGTAGTCTAGTAAAATGCTCTCTTTAAAATATTATACAGCTGACCCTTGAACAACACAGGTTTGAACTGTAAGGGTTTCCTTGTGTTTTTTTTTTTTCCAATAAATACAATACAGTGCTCTAAATGTATTTCTCTTATTTGTATAAACGTTGCTGCAATTACAATCCCATTAGCACTGAGTACCTATCTCCCTGTACCCTCATCAGATCTGGAGCTTATATTACAATTTTATATAAATCTATGTATGTATTTGCCAGTGTGTTAGGTACAGGGAGTTTCTTGACAAGTTTTCTATTCTCCCTCACTCGCTCTCTAGAAATGAGAAGGGATCTTTTAATTAATTAATCTCTACACTTAACGTGGGGCTAGAACTCATGACCTCAAGATCAAAAGTGGCAGGCTCTACTAACTTACATAGCCAGACACCTCCCCTGTTATGATTTTCTTTTTTTAAAGACTTATAATTTTTTTTTTAGAGTGAGAGAGTGAGAGTGAGAGAGAGAGGGCAAGAGAGAGGGTGAGAGACAGTGCCTAAGTGGGAGAGGGGCAGAGGGATAGAGAATCTCAAGCAGTCTCCATGCTCAGTGGAGAGCCTGATGCAGGGCTCAATCCCAGGGCCCTGGGATCATGATGTGAGCTGAAATCAAGAGTTGACTGAGCCACCCAGGTGCTCCCCTCTTATGATTTTCTTAACATTTTCTATTCTCTAGCTTAGTTAATGGGAAGAATACAATATCTAATACATATAACATACAAAATATTTGTTAATCAACAGTGTGTTATTGGTAAGGCTTTTGGTCAACACTAATGTATTAGTAGTTAAGTATTTGGGGAGCCAGAGTTATACGTGGACTTTTGATTGTGCAGGGATTGGGTCCTCTAACCCCTGTGCTGTTTAGAGGTCAACTGTACTAACATTTAGGAAACTAGTAATATACAGCTGGTTCACAAAAGTTCACCCAAATCTCTGTAGAATACACATGTGGAGTCTTCATGCTCTGAATGGTTTCTATATCTAAAGACTGTAAATTTTGAAATTTGGAACTTGGGAATGTATTTTCCCATAGCAGTAATGTTATGCATAGTGTTAGGTTCCCAGACTAGCCTATAGAGATACACACACACACACACACACACACACACACACCCACGCAATGTAAAATAGAAAAAAAAAAACAACCCCTCTAAAGTAAGGAACCAGAAGTTACAAAAATTTCCTAGGTCTTACGTCGTGTGGTTTCTTGAACACTTGCAGCAACATCAGCTGGAGTGGTTAAACACAGAGATTCCTGGGCCCCACTCCAGACCTCCCACATCAGAATTTGAAAAGGGGGTCCAGAAATCTATCTACCTATCTCTATATTTTAAGTTTATTTATTTTGATAAAGATAGAGACAGTACGAGCAGACGAGGGGCAGGGAGAGAGGAGACAGAGAATCCCAAGCAGGCTCTGCGTTTAGTGCAGAGCCTGATGTGGGGCTTGAACCTGTGAAACCATGAGATCATGCCTCGAGCCAAAGCCAAGAGTCAGATGCTCAACTGACTGAGCCACCCAGGTACCCCAGAAATCTATATTTTAATAAACTCCTTGGTATTTGCAAATCTTATGTCCAAGTGCTAACTTTTAACAGTAGTAGTACCAACAATAAGAATTGGTATTTTTCTTCTCTCTCTCTCTCTGCCCCTACCCTGCTGTCTTTCAAACTATATAAATTAAAACTAAACAAAACCGAATTGCTACTTTTATTGAGCACTTACTAGACACTATTTATTTGTCAAAACTCTTTATATTCCCTTGTTTAATCTCAAACAACCCTGTAAGGTTGATACCCTTATTATTCCCACTTTACAGATGAGGAATTGAGGCACAGAGTAATAAAGTGAGAACCACCGTTCTAGCCTTACAGCAACTTCACAGGTGGCATACAGATGCTTGGAATTTCAACATTTTCAAAAGAGTGCTCAGACCAAATTTTCCCCAAATTTTCCTTTGGACTGGTCTGATCCAGTTCATCACATATTCACCCAAAGTTTGGTGGAACTAGTGGTGGGATGAGGCAGAGGTTGAGTGCTTCCTATCAAGGCGGAAATAGTAGAAAGGAATGAAAAGAAGGAGTCTTCTGTCTGAGGTGTGTGCATGGGCCTTTGCCCCTCCAGTCCCTAGGAGAGCCCAGGACTGGAGGAGTCCAGGCATGCAGTGGATGCAATGGACAGCTAAGAATAGATGGTGAATATCTGGGGCATCTGGGTGGCTCAGTCAGTTAAGTGTCTAACATTGGCTCGGGTCATGATCTCATGGTTTGTGGGTTCGAGCCCTGCGTTGGGCTCTGTGCTGACAGCTAGAGCCTGGAGTCTGCTTCAGATCCAGATCCTCTCTCTCTGCTCCTCCCCTGTTCTCTCTCTCTCTCTCTCTCTCTCTCAAAAATGACTAAATGTTAAAAAAAAAAAAAAAAAGAAAGAATAGATCATGAATCTCAACTGCCTGCTCGTTGACCAAAAGGGCAACTAAGAACTGAGGCAGGAAGGGGCAGGCAAGGGACTCACTATGTCACCGTAAGTGGGAAGAAGTGATTCCTTGTTGACTAATCCATCCATGCATCCATCCACAAATTGAGTTCCTACTGTGTCTTAGGCAGTGCACTTCTATTTACTGGGGTTATGAAAATGAAAAAGATGACAGTTCTTGTCTTCAAAGAACTCACAAATTTTAAAGACTTATATAACCAAAGGCCCAGAAACCTATGCCAGCTTGGTCCTGTTGAGTACCTGAGAGTAGTCTGGTCCTCAGTGGTATCAACTGGAAGGCAGTATCAACTCACTAAATGAGCCAGCCCCAGGGTGGGGACTATATGAATGTGCATGCATGAGTGTGTTTTTGCCTTAGAGACTCAAAATTTTGGGGGTACCCATAACAAACACAAACCATTTGAGAAATGTAGCAAGGCAAGTAAATAAAAAGTCATGAATGGAGGAAAGCTTTAATGCAATGTCACATTAGTATTTTATTGTGGGGGGGGTAGATTATGAGAGCAGGGCAGAGGGGGAGGGGGAGGGAGGGAGAGAGAGAGACAGAGAGAGAGAATCCCAAGCAGGCTCCACACTCAGTGTACCTCAGCCTGATGCGAGGCTTGATCCCATGAACTTGGGATCATGACCTGAGCTGAAATCAAGAGTCAGATGCTCAACTGACTGAACCACCCAGGCGCTCCTAACATTAGTGTTTTAAAACAGTAGTCTGAAATATGCAGCTTTTCAACTTCTCATTCTTATGGATTCAAAGTTCAAGTCTAGGTGGAATTTTATGAAGGCGTGGGGGCAAGTGAGAGGTGGCTGGGTTTTGAGAACAAAGGAAGGCTGCAGCTACTATAAAGAATATCTAGGATTATGTAATCTGGGACTTCAACTGTTGTCTTGGACTTTGAGCTGGAGCCCAGAGCTAAGGCCAATAGGAAGTAAGTGGTACCAAGTCTACTAGAAAGCCACCAGACCATCCCTCTAGGGCTTGCTGAAAGGCAGCCAAAATGGCCCTTCCCCAACTTACCCTAATGCCCTGTTCTGTCTATTCAGAAGCCTGGAGTCTGTAGGAATCACAGGATGAGGAGACCAAGTGTTTGATCCCCCTTTCCTTCTTGTTGGGTAGGAAGACAGAGGGAGTTGCCTCCTTCTTCATGCCAAGTGGAAGATGGTGGATGCTCCAAAGGAACCATGTGCAGAAACGGGAGGTTCCAGTAACGAGAGCTCACTATCTCACTCTCTGGAGGGATGCTTGTGGAGTCACAGCAACTTAGGGGGCTCGTCTTGGTACACCGGGTAGGAGCCCTTTGTGAGAGAGAGTCCTTGGGGCAGCTTGACGGGTGGTGTTTGTGGTTGCAAGTGAAAAGAT